CATCCAAGTTGTTTTGAAATTTTACATTTACATTTCTGGATGTGAGTTTAGCTTTTTTCTTTTCATAAATTATGTAGGAACTGGGTAGATCTTTTAATCTGAAAGTTCACATCCTACGGTTCTGGGAAGTTTTCTTGCCTCATTTGTTTGATGACTTTCTTCTCTCTGTTCTCTCTGATTTTCCCATTAGTGGATGTTGAACCTACTAGACTGATCTAATTTCTTTTGATCTTTCCTCTCCTACTTTTCATCTCTTTTTTTTCTTCTGTATGTTAGAATATTTCTCAATGCTGTCTTCCGACTCTTTATTTATTTATTTCTACTTAATTTTTGTTTTATTAGAGGTAGGGTCTTGCTATGTTGCCCAAGCTGGATTCTAACTCCTAGGCTCAAGCGATCCTCCTATCACAGCCTTCTGAGTAGCTAGGACTACAGGTCTAACTAACTTTTAACTTTTAAAATTTGTTTTTTATTCTGTGACTTTTTTTTTTTTTGAGGCAGAGTCTTACTCTGTTGCCCAGGCTGGGGTACAGTGGTGCAATTTCAGCTCACTGCAACCTCTGTCTCCCCAGTTCAAGCGATTCTCCTGCCTCAGCCTCCCAAGTAGCTGGGATTACAGGCATGCGCCATCACGCCCATTAATGTTTTTGTATTTTTAGTAGAGATGGAGTTTCACCATGTTGGCCAGGCTGGACTCAAACTCCTGACCTCAAAGGATCCGCCCACCTTGGGCTCTCAAAGTGCTGGAAATACAGGCATGAGCCACCACACCTGGCCTTATGATTATTATCTTAATATATCTATTTACTCTTGGTTTATAAAGAAAACAAAACATTCTATGACCTCCTAAGTCATTCATTATAACTTTAAAGTTTATTGTTTCTGTTTACCATTTTCTGTTGTTGTTGTTAACATCTGTTATAACAAAGATTCTGCTGAGATGTCAAGTGATCCTGCCTTTCTTTTCTTATTTTTTCAGTAGGATTGCCTTACATAAAAGGATGAAGCCTTACAACAGGCATGTTATACTAATAGTTAACGAGCAGAACCCAGCCATTTTGGGGGTACCCCTAGCTGTCAGATCTATCAGCCCTTTCCTTAGGCTGAAAAATTTTCTCTAAGTGGATTCTTCAAAACTCTTGCTTACAGGAGTAAGAGAGGGGTAATGGAGCTGGAAAGTCATCCCTCTTCATAGTAAGAGAGGGGTAATGGAGCCTTGTTATCCTCTGTCCAAGGTCACCTCTATGAACCACAGTTAATCTTCTCCAGGGAGTCAACCTCCCATATTGCGCCAGATGAGCAAGGGCAGTCGCTGGCTGTGCACAGCTGAAGAAAGGATCTGGGGACATACCTGCTAACGGCATCCCTTCTGCTCAAATCCCTCTCCAGCCACCAGAAACACCTGTCCCCTGCCATTCCTGAGTCTCTGGGGCTCCTGGTTACACTGTATTCGTCTGGTCTCACCACCCCCACCCACCTCATGTGGGAGGTTGGGCCTCAGCTTCACCACGCTTACTCTGTCATTTACCATTAGCCATCCTGTTTCCATTTTCCAAAATTTTGTACACGTCTCTTTTCCGATCATCACCTGACCTGTTTTTTTCTCTCTATTCCTTTGCTATCATTTTAGTAGGGTTTCAGGAAGGTTGACATGTAAATGGTATGTTCAAGCCATCATGCTATGCCACACAGCAATGTTGGGGTATGGGCTCTTCCCTGAGTATGCCGCTTTACTGTTCCTTGTACCCACCCCCCAACCAAGTGCGCTTCTTCTGTTCCCCTGCCTGGTCCACCCTTATCCCTCTCCTAATTTCAATTTTCCTTTTTTTTTTTCTTTTTTGAGACAGAGTCTCGCTCTGTCACCCAGGCTGGAGTGCAGGGGCACAATCTCAGCTCACTACAAACCTCCACCTGCCAGTTTCAAGCGATTCTCCTGTCTCAGCCTTCCAAGTAGCTGGGACCACAGGCACGTGCCACCATGCCCAGCTACTGTTTTTGTATTTTTTAGTAGAGACAGAGTTTCACCACATTGGCCAGGCTGGTCTCAAACTCCTGACCTCAGGTGATCTGCCCACCTCAGCCTCCCAAAATGCTGGGATTACAGGCATGAGCCACCACACCTGGCTCCCCAGTCTTCAATTTTCTATCTCTTAATGATCCTTCACGCATTATCTCAAACAAACATTTTTCTCAGACCTGCCCTGCACATCTTGCGTGAGTGTCTAGCGGGCACATACCTTGTGCTATACTGACCTGCTTGTATATCTGTCTTCCCCACCTAGACAAGAAGTAAGTAGGCAAGGACTGGGCTTCATGAAATGGTCTAGCTCTAGTGTGGGGAAAACCATCTGGCACATGATAATACTTGTTCAACCGGCTCATTTCTAGTAATCTCGTTTTGGAGGCATTTTCACTCTCACAGAAGTACAAAAAAACAGGGCCATGTTTATTTGCCAATGTCCGAATAAGAAAGGCTAATCAGAGAGCATCAGACAGATGTTTCAGAGAGCAAAAGTCCAGGGACACAAAATAGCTTCCAGCAGGGGTGAGGTATGTTTCTAGTGATTCTAAATGAATATGCTTATTTGGTAGAGAGAGACACTTAACAGGTTTCTTAGCTAATGCTGCAAATTTAAATCCATTTAAGATAATTTTCTTTATCTTGAACCTATTTTTCTCAGTAACCGAGACACATAACTGATTTGTAAAAAATTCATTTGATAAATAAATAATCTACTTCAAGCAAGGACCGCTCTGAATAGAAAAAGAGAGACGATACAAACCTAGTAGAAAAATGGAGAATCTGTTTGAGAAGCCAAGGTGGAGGGAAAACATGGGAGCTTTCTCTCCACCATCTTGACACTATGTCCAGCCTCTTTTGTCTATTTTATAAGCAGGAAATAAGTAATTCTTAAATCTGAGAGCACAGAACAAACATCTCTCATGATCCAACCAAAATGCACACAGTTTCTAGACAGTGTCTCACTCTCTTGCCTAGGCTGGAATGCAGTGGCACTATGGCGGCTTATTGCAGCCTCAACCCCCCAGGCTCAGGTGACCCTCGGACTCCAGAGGAACTGGGACTATAGGAAAGCACCTGGCTAACTTACGGTTTTTGTAGATGCAATGCTTTGCCATGTTGCCCAGGCTGATCAACTCCTGGGCTCAAGTGATCTTCCCAAAGTGCTAGGATTATAGATGTGAGCCACTGTACTCAGCCCCAAGCTTTTCAAAAGGCAAGAATTTCATACAAAAAAAGTGTAAGTTGAAACAATAACCTATCAGGTGTTTTTTACATGCTAGTACTCAGTCTTGGAAGGGTCTAGTAAAATTCTAATAAGAGTAGAATTACTATAGATTTTCTGGAGGAAAATATTATAATATGCATCAAAAATCTCCAAAAATATCCCACTACTATACAACTTTAGAAGTGTGGATTTGGCCATGGGTCACGCCTGTAATCCCAGCACTTTGGAAGGACGGGGTGGGCGGAGAGACCAGCCTGACCAACATGGAGAAACCCTGTTTCTAGTAAAAATACAAAATTAGCTGGGTGTGGTGGCACATGCCTGTAATCCCAGCTACTTGGGAGGCAGATGCAGGAGAATCACTTGAACCTGGGAGGTAGAGGTTGTGGTAAGCTGAGATCGCACCATTGCGCTCCAGCCTGGGCGAAAAGAGCGAAACTCCGTATCAAAAAAAAAAAAAAAAAAGTATGGATTCAGAAAATAAATATCAAATCAAATATAAATATCAAATGTAAAGATATGACTGAAATAATATTCAATAGAATCTTATATATAATAATGAAAAATTAAAAATAACCTAAATTTTCAAGAATGGAAACGAACATTATTAATAACATCAGAAAATACTCATGACTTAGTGTTAAATAAGTGATATATCATCCACTCATAATCTGCATAGAAAATAGACTCAAAGACAGTATACTAAAACTTCAATAGCTGCTGTCCCCAAATGATGAGATCATGGTGATTTTTTTTTTTAGAAAAATGCAAATCAAAACCATAATGAGATATCTGTTCAACCAATCATAAAGGCCTAAAGGACTAAAAAGTCCAAAGAAATGACAGACACTGGAGAGGCTGCAGAGAAAAGGGAACGGTTATACACTGCTCGTGAGAATGTCAATAGTTCAGCCATTCTAGAAAGCAGTTTGGTGATACTTCAAAGAGCTCAAAGCAGAACCATTTGATCCAGCAATCCCATTATTGGGCATGTACCCAAAGGAATATAAATTGTTCTACCATAAAGAAACATGGACAGGTATGTTCATTACAGCACTATTCACCATAGCAAAGAAATGGAATCAACCTAAATGCCCATCGACAGTAGACCAGATAAAAAAATGTAGCACATATACACCATGGAATACTATGCAGCCATAAAAAAGAATCCCATCGTGTCCTTTGCAGCAACATGGATGGAGTTAGAGGCAATTATCCTAAGCAAACAAACTCAGGAACAGAAAGCCAAATACCACAGTCCTCACTTACAGGTGGGAGCTGAACACTGAGTACACATGGGCATGAAGAGGGGAAGGACAGACATGGGGCCTACTTGAAGGTGGAGGGAGGAGGGTGAGAATCAAGAAACTACCTATTGGGTGCTATGCTTATTTGGGTGATGAAATCATGTGTACACCAAAGCCCTGTGGCATGCAATTCACCTATATCACAAATCTAAATGTTCCCCTGACCATAAAATAAACATTAAAATAATAATAATAAATAAAATACAATATAAAGCTTTTTGTAATAAGGCCCTTTCTATATGTTTCTGGAACACTTTTACAACAACTTAACTTTTTTATTTAGCTAATCTTTCATAAGCAACAGGAGTATTAAGTTTATTTATTGATGAGGAAAATAAAAACTCCCCTAACAGCTACAAATAACAATGGAAAGTATCACAGACTTCGGGTCTACACCCACTCTTACCACCCATCACTCTCCCCGAATGACTGAACCCGAACTTACTTGGTGGGACGATAATCCGGAATGGAACGGTCCAGTGAAATTTTTTCACTGAGGTAGGAATTGTAGCCATATTTCTCATGGGGCCCCTTGGCCTTCTCTTCCTCAGCAGGGGAAAGAGTAGCCGGGAGGCCCCCTTTGCCCCGCCCACCATAACCTTCGATGAGCCCAAGGGATTTTGATAAGCCTAGAAAAAGCGGGAGAAAAGAATTATTAGAAAACCACCATACGAGGATGTATCACTCAATCTCCACTATAGCTTCAATACACATTTTAACATTACCTGGCAAAGAAAAAAAATAACGTCCTCAATTTATCCAACTTGGGTATAGGCCGCAAAAACATTTCTATTGAGAGGAAGGTCAAGGCCACGAAGAGTTCTGGGGTTAAAGTCTGGTTACCAATTACAATCCTCTCCCTCCGTCTTGACCAAAAAATACAAAAATTAGCTGGGCGTCGTGGCGCACGCCTGTAGTCCCCAGGCACTTGGGAGGCTGAGGCAGGAGAATCTCTTGAACCCGGCAGACAGATGTAGCAGTGAGCCAAGATCGCACCACTGCACTCCAGCCTGGGCAACAGAGCAAGACTCTCTCTCAAAAACAAAGCAATCCTCTCTCTCCTTTTGGGAACTGGGATGAGATGGGGGTCTGTAAGAGGGAGAGACCATCTAAACTGGGAGAAGTAGGGACCAGAGAGGACACAGGACATGAGACAAAACCGGGGTCATTATTCACGCCTGTTTCCCTGTTGCTAGGAGGAATAGAATAAAGACGCAAGTCACAGATCACCGCTAAACTGCAGGTGCTTTTGCTTCATTTGAACAGAAAGCGACATACAGGTTGATTTTTATCCTGAGTTTAAAGGGTCCAACATTCTGACACAGCTCTTTCTCTAATGGTTTTATTTAAATTTTATCTAAATGGCAACAGGAAATACAAAATGCCTGAGAATAAATCACAGAGGAAAAGAAAAAAACCCACAAGGGTGATAACCGTGCCAAGTAGAGTTGGAGGCGTCTGCAACAAGCCTCACTAAGCAATTGCAAGCTCCCAGGATGGTGGCAGCTTTAAACCTATTATTCCATTAGAAGCTAAACAGCTTGATGGGCAATTTTTAAATCCTGGAGTTATGGGAGGCTTTACTACCTAGCTAGAAAACTTTCGTTGTTAAGGGTCCTCATTGCCTTCTGCCATTTCAAATGTTCCAGCTACTCAGCGCATACACACACACACACACACACACACACACACACACACACACACACACACACTTGATCCATTTAAATGATGGATAACCAATACCCAGCATTTCTTTGCTGCCACTGACAGAAAGAAGATGGACCAGCCTCCTTGGCTCTTGGCTTTCACAGCCTGGGCAGCCCGAGGCACCCAGAAGGATCCACAGTTTCCGCGAAGACATCCCCTAAGCAAGTTAAGAGCCAAGAAATTTGCTCCGGTGGTAAGACGGTTCTCCATCACCTAGTGGCAAAGCTTGTATTCTCTCTCCTGCTGCTCTGAAAACAGAAATTTATTTTCTGTAATATCAAGATCGAAAGCAAAGGTTGAGTGAGCACCTCAGTCACTGTCAGACGAGCATCCTTTTTCTGCCTGACAATCATTTCCTCTGTCCAATACGTGCTTCAGGAGTCCTGACATCTTTTCCTGCAGCCAACATCTCCGTAGAGACCCTATCAGGGGAGAATCAGGGTCGCCAGCACTTTCTACCTGCTCCCCCATCTTGAATCTGATCCACACCAATGTGTAACAAGTATTCCAATGGCATCCCCTCAACTGTCCTCAGAACTCTACAAGGACTCTTCATGTGTTGAGTACAAACACCTGTGCTTGGTTTTAAAATCACTTGTGACGCAGCATTACTAGTGGGAATGTATGGTGGTGCCACCACTTTGGAAAACAGTTGTGTGTTTTTTTCAAAATGCTAAATACAGGCTGGGCGCAGTGGCTTACGCCTGCAATCCCAGCACTTTGGGAGGCCAAGGTAGGTGGATCACCTGAGGTCAGGAGTTGGAGACCAGCCTGGCCAACATAGTGAAACCCCGTCTCTACTAAAAATACAAAAATTAGCCGGGTGTGGTGGTGGGCACCTATAATCCCACTATTTGAGAGACTGAGGCAGCAGAATCACTGGAACCCAGGAGGCAGAGATTGCAGTGAGCCAAGATCCCGCCACTGCACTCCAGCCTGGGTGACAGAGCGACATGCTCTCAAAAACAAAAAAATGCTAAATATAGTAACCATATGACCCAGCAATTCCACTCCTAGGTATAAACCCAAGAAAAATGGAAACAGTCGTCCCCACAAAAAGTTGTGCGCAAATGTCCACAGCTGCATTATTCTTATGAGCTAAAATGTCCATCAACTGATGAATGGAAAAACAAAATATAGTATCTCCCGAAATACAGTATATAAAACAAAATATAGCATATTATATTGACCAATGGGATATTGGGCAATATAAAAGAATGAAGGTGTCAGCCAAGTTATGAGGTGAGTGAGCCTTGACTTGAAAGTGTTATGCCAAGTAAATGAAGGTAGTCACGAAAGACCAAGTCGTTATGCTATTTATGTGAAATGTACAGAAAAGTTGAATCTGTGGAACCTGAACGTAGACCCATGGTTGCTTAGGGAAGGGGGGACTTGGGGAGGAAATGGAGAGTGACTGTTAATATGGATAGGGCGTCTTCCTGGAGTAATGGGAATGTTACAGCACTAGATCATGCTGATGGGGCACAGATTTGTGGAGATACTAAATAACCACTAAACTGTACACTTTTAAATAGATGAATGATATGAGCTCTATAAAATATCTCAGTATTGCTGGGTGCAGTGTCTCACACCTGTAATCCCAGCACTTGAGGAGGCCGAGGTGGTGAGACCACTTGCTGCTTGAGGTCAGGAAATTGAGACCAGCCTGGCCAACACTGCGAAACCCCATCTCTACTAAAAATACAAAAATTAGCCTGGTGTGATGGCACGCACCTGTAATCCCAGCTACTCGGGAGGCTGAGGCAGGAGAATTATTTGAGCACAGGAGGCAGAGGTTGCAGTGAGCCAAGATTGTGTCACCGCACTCCAGCCTGGCGACAAAGCGAGACTTTGTCTCAACAACAACAACAACAACAAAAACCCTCAATACAGTTGTTAAGAAAAAAACACTTATGATAGACAATTCTATTCACAGCAAGAGGAAAGGCTACCCAACATGAAAAATTTCTAGCAAAATCCCTAAAATGCTCAATAAAACAATTTTAAAATATGTAAAATATATAGCTGATCTTGCAAGAATGAAAGGAAAACTCCTAGAGGTAAGTTAAAATCAGAGTTGAGTCTATGTCTGCTCTCAGAGGGATAGGCTGGGTTGCTGCAGTTTCAGAGCTCAAGTGTGCACAGGATATGAGATTTGGGGTTCTCTTGAGAAATATCATTGAAACGGAAATATCTGCAAAAGTTTAGGCCCCAGAAAGACTGGAATTTTGTTTGTTTGCTTGTTTGTTTGTTTTGTTTTGTTGCAAATCTAAGGAACAGCATAATGAGACGAACAAGAAGACTGGCCTCTGGGTGTGCTCAGAGTCAGGGTGAAAACATCCCAACCCAGGACTTGAGACTACACATGCGTTTGTCTGGATTTACAGTCTCCAGAGGTCAGAGAATTGCCATTGAAGATTACAAGCTCTTCAAAGAGTACTCAAGACAGTCATGGAAACACAGTCATAAAATCTAATTTTTAATATTTTATATGGAGGAAGGAGCCCATCTAGGCAAAAGTGTCTCAGCCCACAAAAGTCCAGTCTGCAGCCGTGGGTCCCTTGAGTTCAGCTTTTCATCTAGAAGTGACACATAAAGAAGGAAAGTAACAAGCTCTGAAGCATAGCTGATAACAGCACAAGGACTGACCCCAGGAACAACAGTAATGACAGTGACCATTTATTGGGTACCCACTGTGTGGTGGGCACTCAGCTAAATGTTTCACATTTATTCTACCATTGTTTCATCTAGCCTCCTGACCAGCTCAGGGGGAAGGTATTATTACAACCTGTTTCACAGATGAGGACACTAGCCGGGCACGGTGGCTCATGTCTGTAATCCCAGCACTTTGGGAGGCCGAGGCGGGTGGATCATGAGGTCAGCAGTTCAAGATCAGTCTGGCCAACATGGTGAAACCCCATCTCTACTAAAAATACAAAAATTAGCTGCGCATGGTGGCACAGTGCCTGTAATGCCAGATACTCAGGAGGTTGAGGCAGGAGAATCACTTGAACTGGGACCTGGGAAGCAGAGGTTGCAGTGAGCTGAGATTGGGCCATTGCACTGCAGCCTGGGCTACAGAGCAAGTCTCCATCTCAAAAAAAAAATAAAAAAAAAATAAGGATACTGAGTCTGAGAACGTAGGAAAGTAGGAACTTTTTTTTTTAAGGGATGGCCTCACTCTGTCACCTTAGCTAGAGTGCAGTGGTGTGATCACGGCACACTCACTGCAGCTTTGAACTCCTGGGTTCAAGCAATCCTCCTGCCTCAGCCTCCCAAATACCTGGAATTGCAGGTGCATGACACCAATCTAGCTAATTATTTTAAAAAAATTTTGTAGAGTGGCCGGGCGCGGTGGCTCAAGCCTGTAGTCCCAGCACTTTGGGAGGCCGAGGTGGGTGGATCACGAGGTCGAGAGATCGAGACCATCCTGGTCAACATGGTGAAACCCCATCTCTACTAAAAATACAAAAAATTAGCTGGGCATGGTGGCACGTGCCTGTAATCCCAGCTACTCAGGAGGCTGAGGCAGGAGAATTGCCTGAACCCAGGAGGCGGAGGTTGCGGTGAGCCGAGATCGCGCCATTGCACTCCAGCCTGGGTAACAAGAGCGAAACTCCGTCTCAAAAAAAAAAAATTTTTGTAGAGATGGGAGTCTTGCTGTGTTGCCCAGGCTGGTCTTAGACTCGTGGCCTCAAGTGATCCTCCCACCCTGGCCTCCCAAAATGCTGGGATTACAGGTGTGAACCACCACACCTGGCTAAACAGATTTTCCCCTTCCCTTCCCCAGTACTTGCTAACTTCTCACAAGCCACACATTCCCCAAAGGGTCAAGGCAAAAAACTCTATCAGAATGGGACAGAATTCTTGACCTTTAACTTAACTTGGCAGCTCCCATAAAAAAACTTCTGATTCTTCCTCT